TTTTTTTTGACAGAGTTTCGCACTGTCGCCCAGCCCGGAGTGCATGGAGTACGGTGGTGCGATATCCACTCACTGCAACCTCTGCGTCCCAGGTTCAAGTGATTCTCCCGTTTCAGTCTCCGAGCAGCTGGGATTACAAGTGCAAGCCACCAAGGCTGGCTAATTTTTGTATTTTTACTAGAGATGTGATTTTGCAATGTTGACTAGGCTGGTGTCAAACTCTTGGCCTCAAGTGATCCTCCCGCGTTGGCCTCCCAAAGTCCTAAGATGACAGGCGTGAGCCAACACCACCTGGCCATTACATTAATTCTTATCTCAGCAAAAACCTCTCCATGGAAGAGCAAAAATGATATTTTTTTAAAATAATTTTTTTAAATATATATATAGATGGGGTTTCACCACGATGGCTAGGCTGAACTTGAACTCCTGACCTCAGGTGATCCACCCACCTCGGCCTCCCAAAGTGTTAGGATTACAGGCGTGAGCCACCTCGCCTGACCAAAAATGATACATTTTTAAATTATCAACTTTAACACAAGGTAATGTCATTTCAAATACTAGTTTTGCATAGTGTAAGATTTTTATCTAGTTTTCTATGACTCTAAAGCTCAAAATAGCTACTATCCTCCCTTGTTAATGAAGAAATAGTCTTGTGGTGGCATGTGGCATCAGAAATCTGTTTCATTCTGGCCGGGTATAGAGACTCACCCCTGTAATCCCAGCATTTAGGACGCAGAGATGGGCAGATCACTTGATGTCAGGAGTTCGAGACCAGCCTACGCAACATGGTGAAACCCCTGTCTCTGCTAAAACTACAAAAATTAGCTGGGCATGGTGATAGGCATCTGTAATCTCAGCTACTTGGGAGGCTGAGGCAGGAGAATCGCTTGAATCGGGAGCCGGAGGTTGCAGTGAGCCAAGATGGCGCTACCGCACTCCAGCTGGGTCAACAGAGCAAGACTCTGTCAAAAAAAAAAAAGAAAGAAAAGAAAAAAAGAAATCTGTTTCATTCTTCATGTTCCATTAACGATCATTACCTTGTCATATAATGAGACACCACGCACAGGGCAAATGGTCCCCCTTGTGCAAGGAGGCCATTGAACCCAGGATTCACTCCTCTCTTCACTCCTTTATGGCACACAGACTTTTTTTCTTTTCTGAACAAGAATTGAAAGTACATTTAACTTGGCTATTAATCTCCTCAAATCCGTGAAACATTTGAGTGGGGCTAGTCTGGATGAATCAAATGTAATATTTTATCTCCTCTCCAACCTCAGTTGACTAAGTTATCTAACACGAAGAATGCCATAAAATGGTCAAAATACGCCTTATCCATACCAACAGACATCAGTATTTCCAGAAGTTTTTCAGAGTAAATTTTTTTTTCCCTTGAGTTTTTTTCAACTGATTCATAACTTCTCCTTCCCCCATGACTTTTGATTAAAGGTATGCCATGATAGAAGTGTAAGATTTTTTAAAAGGAAAAACTAAAAGAGCTAGGAAAGTAGGACAACTGAAGGTGAAGTTCGTCAAATGTCGCTAGACATTAGATAACTGTCAGGAAAACATCTAACATTTCAAAGTACCTGATACACTTAGGCACCCATCACTTACGTAGCCCTCGCTCAGGTCAGGACTTTCTGCCTTGGGTTCAGTTACCCCTCAAGCATATAGTATAGGGCTTTGCTTGACTGTGGCAGGATTTTAATAAATGATAAGTTATTAATGCTAATAAAGAAATTTTAGGTCTGGCTTGGTGGCTCACACCTGTAATCCCAGAATTTTGAGATGCCAAGGCAGGCGGATCACCTGAGGTCAGGAGGTCAAGACCAGCCTGGCCAACATGGTAAAACCTTGTCACTACTAAAAAATACAAAAATTAGCTGGGCACGGTGTTGCATGTCCATAATCCCAGCTGCTCGGGATGCTGAGGCAGGAGAATCACTTGAACCCTGGAGGCAAAGTTGGATCGCATCACTGACCTCCAGTCTGGGTGACAGAGTGAGACTCCATCTCAAATTAAAAAAGAAAAAAATTATGGCCAGGTGCAGTGGCTCACGCCTGTAATCCTAGCACTTTGGGAGGCCGAGGTGGGTGGATCACCTGAGATCAGGAGTTCAAGACCAGCCTGGCCATCATGGGGAAACCCCATCTTTAAATAAATAAATAAATAAAAATTTAAAAAATAAATTAAAAAATTAAGCCTGGGGAGTATGTCGAAACCCCCTCTCTACAAAGAATGCAAAAATTAGCTGGGCGTGGTAGCATGTGCCTACTACTAGGAGTAGGTAGTGTTCCAGCTACTCAGGAGGCTGAGATGGGAGGAGGATCACTTGAGCCTGGTATTAATGGTGGAGGGTCTGTCCAGGTTCTTGGTGTCTTGAACAAAGAATGGACAAAACGCATAAACAGAGCAACAAAGGAAAGAAGGGCTTTACTGCAAATGAAAGTACACTCCACAGTGTGGGAGTGGCCTGAGCAGAGGGCTCAAAGGCCCTGTTACAGAGTTTTTGTCAGTTTAAATACCATCTGCTTGGGGTATGCCCAATGTAAATGAAGAGGATGAAGTAAAGTTACAAAGTCATTTACAACGTGTGTGCCCTATGGAGAGGATATTTCCTGTTATAACTGAAGTGTGAATTGGCCTTATGTTTCCTGCCTCCCGACCCTATTTTCCTGCCTCACTGGGAAGTGAGCTGAGATCATGCCACTATACTCCAGCCTGGGCAACAGAGGGAGACCCTGTTTTTTAAGGAAGAAAGCTGAGTGAGATAGCCTGTTTTCTGATTATCCCCAATCCTCACAGCTACAATCTTTCATACTGACCTTCAAAATAATATAGTGAAATTTCCCTGGTAAGGTTTATTATAACATCAAGGGAGAGGAGGAGGAGGAAGAGAAAGAGTGGGGAGGAGGAGGAGGAGAAGGGGGAGAAGAAGAAGAGGAAGGAGAAGATTTGAGCAACTGAGACTACAGGTATGTGCCACCGCACCCAGCTAATTTTCATATTTTTTGTAGAGACAAGGTTTCATCGTGTTGGCCAGGCTGGTCTTGAACTTCTGACCTCAAATATTCCACCTGCCTCAAACTCCCAAAATGCTGGGATTACAGGCCTGAAACACCACGCCCAGCCAGAAACACTTTTTTAATTTTTATTTTTTTCTGAGGCGGAGTTTTGCCCTTGTTGCCCAGGCCAGAGTGCAATGGCAGGATCTTAGCTCACTGCAACCTCCGCCTCCTGGGTTCAATAGATTCTCCTGCCGCAGTCTCCCAAGTAGCTGGGATTACAGGGCTGTGTCACCGCGCCTGGCTAATTTTTGTATTTTTAGTAGAGACAGGGTTTCTTTATGTTGGTCAGGCTGGTCTCCAACTCCCGACCTCAGGTGATTCACCCACTTCAGCCTCTCAAAGTGCTGGGATTCCAGGCATGAGCCACCTCACCCAGCCCAGAAACTCTTTCTGCTTATTATTATTATTTTATTTAAAAATTATTTTTTCCATTACTCTAGCCAAAGAAGAAACTCTTTTTGATATTTTTTGACTGTCTTTGCTCAAATGTGGCCTCCATGAGGCCCAGCTCTACCCTAGCCAATACTGCACCACACACTGCTGCATTCCTAGCACCTCCAATTACATTGTAACATCCTATGGAGCTGAGTTTTTTTTCTTCTTACCTTTTTCATTTTATTTTCTTTTTCTTTTTTTTGAGAGACAAGATTTCACCATATTGATCAGTCTGGTCCTGAACTCTGAATCTCAGGTGATCTACCCACCTTGGCCTCCCAAAATGCTGGGATTACAGGCCTGAGTCACCGCGCCCTGCCCTCTTCTTATCGTTTTATTTGTTACTTCTATACTTATTACCTATTGTTTGCCTCCTTTCATAGAATGTGAGGGTCAGAGATCTTGATTTTGTTCACTGATGGATTTCCAACACCTATAGCAATGCCTAACACCTAGTGGTTCTCAATAAACTTGTGGAATGAGTGAATGGAAAAGTATGTCTCATTTATTCATGAAACATTTATGAATCAGAAGCTCATCCTTCTGGAATTTCCCTGAACTGGGAAGAGAGAATGTCAGGAAAATATACATCAAGTTTCTCAACCCAAAAAGCTAATACCTTACACCTATTATAGAAACATGGTGCTTTCCATAAGGCGTTGATTTCCTAGACTGAATAATCAGCCAACTTGCTATATGTATCATAAAATACAAAAGGACCTTATAAAGCAATGGTTTCTAAACCACTGGAGATTCAGATGCTGTGAGTCTGAGTTAGGGCCCAGGAATCTAAAACTTCAGAAGCGTCTCAGGTGATTCAGGTGTTCCGCCAGTCTTGGGTGCCTGAGCCAGAGACCGGAAGACATGAGAACTATGTTAGTGAAGTGAGAGGAAGGTAAGTGGCTAATTGGGCATTTGAAATCAACAAAGAGGTGTATGGTATGCTTTCTTACTCATGGTCATGAGTCCTTCTTCCTGCCTCCTAACCCTTTTTTGCTCGGATTTGTGCTTCAGAATCAGTCCAGGAATTTGTTAAATATACAAGAGCTCATGTCCTACCACCAACCTACATAACCTGTGTTTAAGTGTTTCTGGTTTTACAAAACCTCTAGGCCAGAGGAGTGTATTCACACCAGGGAGTGCTGAGACTAAGTTTAGCTAGAGTTTCAGAGAGGGCTGGAATAAGTCAGTCAAAACAGTAAGCTTAAACTGATCAGGATGACTACATGATTCCATTCTTCAAGAGTGATGAGCTCTAAGTATGCCTTTTTTTTTTTTTTTTTGGACAGCAGTGAGAAAACTGACAGCAATACGGAAATCAAAAACACTAAAACAGAACGCCCAACGTGGGGCTCGAACCCACGACCCTGAGATTAAGAGTCTCATGCTCTACCGACTGAGCTAGCCGGGCTCCTTTGAACCCAAGTCTTCCCTAATATACTAAGAAAACACATAATTTCTTTTGTACCATAGGATTCTGGATTTCCTGTTTATGTTGGTTTTATAGATAAGATGAAATGAAATTCACAGGACATAAATATAAACATACCTGAATAATTAACATGCACCCCACCCACTTTCTCTACATCTTTCCTCCTTTGCCCATTCTCACCAATTTGTGTTGATTGACAACATAATGCTTCCAGGACCTAAGAGTTAGTGCCACCAGACGCTTACAACAGCGACTCGTACACTGGCACTCCCAAAACTCCAGACCGGGTTACCAATTGGCTCCAAGCATAGTCCTAAGGAGCCTCGGTCCTCGAAACCAAACGCTATCCTGGGCCCTCTCTGTGGCCCAGTGAGGTGTGCCTCTCTTGTTCTCATAACCCACCGCTTCTTGCCCCTCCTGCTACTACTGGTGGATGTGGCCCTCAAGAAAAGGCTGTGTTCTCCCTCCTTTACAGGACCCATGTGTTTGCTCATTTATTGTTCTCCATAATCAAGGCACACGTAGAAAAAGGGGGAGTGTTGCAATTATACTTTAATTGCAACATCCTATAATGTTGCAATTAAAGTATAAATCGCTACAACGTAGGATGCGGTGATTTTTATATGTTGTGTTTACCGCCAACCGCAAAAGTAGATTCAGCCCAAAAGATAAAAACAAAACAAAACAAAACAAAAAAACCCTACTTGATGACTATACCAACGGTATGCTCCAGGAGGTCCGATGAAATGCTCCTTCTCAGAAGAAAACAGAACCCTGAGCTGCGAGACGGTAGTAGTACTCGACGCGGTTAGCAAGGAGGAAAGCCGAAATACCTCAAAGGTTCCTAACACCTTGACTCTAGCTCAGCGCTTGATCTTCCCGTTTAAATCCATCCTTTGATGTAATGAGTTAATAATAAATGGCATTGAATTAAGATGTGACCATTTTATGTCGAACATATTTCATATGAACACAATCGTGGAGTCGGAACTTCTAGAAGATTCAGAAATGTTTGCTTTTGCAAAAGTCTCTGCAGAGCGGATGGATAACCGAAGAGAAGCCAAAAAAAGAAGTCCTTAATTAGAGATCGCAAGTCGTTTGTTGGGTTCGAACGCATATCGATACCACAACTATCGGCACATATAACCGGAAAGTTCTAACTTAAGAAACTAAGCTTGGGTGAAAGGAGCCAGATTGAGAACTAAGGAAGAAAACCTGGGCTCGTCCGGGATTTGAACCCGGGACCTCTCGCACCCTAAGCGAGAATCATACCCCTAGACCAACGAGCCACCTAAGAAAGCGTTATTTTAGATATATTAAATATTTACAAAAATTCTTTTTTGTAAATGTACGCGTAGCTCTATGAAATTGTCACCGATAATACCTTTAAATCCATTTTGTTTATAAAATTATCAGGACAACGAGGCTCTCAATTTCCCCTCAATCCAATCCTAAGGACTGCTTTCTCAAAGTGCTCTTGACCCATCCTTTCTAAGAGAAAGAGCTGTGGCGTTTTTTTAAAATGCAGAAATCTGTGTTCCTTCTCAAATCTGAGTCAAAGTCTGGAGGCGAGGCCCAGTAAATTTCGTTTTTGACAAGTTTTTGAACTCAACCACAGGTGTAGTGTGGGGCTAACAAAGCCCACGTGGAGCTCGTGGCTTGAGATCAGCATTTTCCACAGGAAATAGTAAAACAGGTGAAAATTCACTCGACAGGATATACAGCTGTGAGATCGTAAATAAACAGAGGATATTAGTTGTACAAGGAACAGGGGGGATATTTAACATCAAGAAGCGGAATGAGCAGAGTTGCCAACCTGGACCACCGGGTTGCTGATGTGGAAAATGTAGATTTTGAAAAGGGGTTTAGTCCTTTCTTGGGAAATCAAAGTAACAAGAAAATGTTTCTCTCGGAATGGAATTCCTGTCATGCTGCTTTTCTGCTTCTCTTGAGCAAACATTTTGAACACTATTACTTAAGAAAAGGTACCTCTGGACATACTCGGATGATTTGGACTTTTGGTAGTATTAGTTATAGAGGTCAGCAGTGTTTCTTGTCTAGACAATTGTTAGACAATTTATTTTTAGCTTCTCCATGGGTAAGTTGTGAGATGAAAGAAAAGGAGGCTGGCCCGTACGGGGATCGAACCCGCGACCTTGGCGTTATTAGCACCACGCTCTAACCAACTGAGCTAACCGGCCACCCACGTCTGACAAACTTTGAAAACGACATCAAGAATTGCATCGGTGTTTCGGACTGGGTTTTTTTGTTTGTTTGTTTTCTTTTGTTTTTCCCCTACGGAAGAACGGTGTACTAGAGTAGCCAGATTCACCAGTGCTGAACTGAGCTTCATCCTTCTCTCGATATTTGTCCTATTTTTTCATCATCCTATGGCGCACAGGACTAACAATACTCCGTCGTCCCTCCTCTTTCCGTGTTCTTAAGCCAAGATTATTTCTGCGCTAAAGGCCAACCATATACCACAAATAGAGCAAATTAATGGGTTCCGGACAACTTTCCAGGTTTCTTCTCTTCTGTCATCTCTCCATCGGGCATTTTTCTCCATGTCTCAATTCCATGTTTCACGTAGATATTTCAAAATACCTCAAAGCAATCTTGTTCCCCATGCTCCATATGCAGTTCTACACATAGTGGCTACAAAAGCACCATAAGGAGTTAATGAAGTGGAGGATACAAAATATTACTTGATATTTCGAAATACAGTTTCTAATTGTATTGGGCAGCCATAAAAGGACTTGGAGATGCCGGGGATCGAACCCGGGGCCTCATACATGCGAAGCATGCGCTCTACCACTGAGCTACATCCCCAACCCCGAACGCCGCTCCTTGTAGCTCTCCCTAGTTGTTTGTAAGAATTTTCTGTTACCCACCTATCTGTCCTCGTCCCCATCCCTGTCCCCAAATTCTTTTTTTTTTTTTTTTTTTTTTTTTT